GGTCGAATCGATCGCCGAGCAATCGACCCCGTTGCTAAGTAACCGGGGCTGGCCTGAGCCCTGGGAGCCGGTTCTGAGTCGCAAAAATCCCCCAGACTTTGGGTTTCGGTCTTCATGGCATCCTTCAGTTAGGAAAGCGTGGGTTCACGCAAGCCTACAAGATTTGAAATAAGGTATTTAACCAGCTATGTTGGCGGTGTTGCCCAGGAGGAATTGGGATTGTATCCAAAATATTTGTCACTACAAGTTACATCTGAAGGTCTCTCAATTTCCCTATGCTTGAAGTCATAAAGGGTGGTTTTCGGGATTTTTGTACAGATTACCTTTCCATTCTCTCTTTGCCATTCTTTCCCTCCTGCAAGCCAGGCGCTATGCTAAACCCTAGGGATACTGAGATGGCTTTAAAGGAAAATGGTCCCAAATTCGCAAGGATTGGCTATTGTCTGTAACACAGTACCTGGTAGCCTCCTTTCACCAGCGGAATAAAAGAGACCCAGGAATTCCTCTTTTGATTCAGAAGACACTGAATTACATCTCAAACGTAGGGACAGAAAAGAACACACAGGTCTTGACTCTCAACAACTTGCAATGTAGTGGGGACTGATGAGTTTTGAAAATTCAGTCTCATGTGGAAACAGAGGCACATACAGTGTTTTGGACGAGAGCCTAGAGAGGTGTCAACTAACATTAATATTTCTCTTCCTCTCAGAAGGAGAAGTTGAGGGAACTAATCACTGAACGTTTGGCAGGTCACATTGGTTCTGCTCTCCTGTTGAGGACAAATAGAAACGTAAATCAAGAAAGACTCCGTATCACAAGAGAGAGACACTTTTCCCTAAACTGTCACATCAAACCTGGGGCCTAGGGAATGGTGATGTCTTATAAAAGCTAAATAATTTCATTCTGGCTTTCCATTCTGCCTATTGTTTTTGAATAATTATTTCAGAAGTGTATGTAAACATACACTGAAGCTGAAGCTCCAATACTTTGGCCATCTGATGCCAACAGCTGACTCATTGGAAAAGACCCTGATGCTGGGAAAGATTGAAGGCAGAAGGAGAAGGGGGCAACAGAGGAAAAGATGGTTGGATGGCATCACCGACTCGATGGACATGAGTTTGGGCAAACTCTGGGAGATGGTGAAGGACAGGGAAGCCTGGCATGCTACAGTCTTNAGGACAGGGAAGCCTGGCACACTGCAGTCCAGAATTGGACGCGACTGAGCGACTAAACAACAATCAACCACAACAATGGAGCTTACATAATAGTTAGTGAAGAAAGACAGACAATAAACAAGTACTTAAATATAAAATATACCAGATAACAATAAACACCATAAAAATATGGCAAGGAATATAGCTAGAAAGTGCCCATGGATAGGAGCAGCAACTTTAAATACAGTAGACAGAAAAATTGTCATTGAAAAGGTGACATTTGAATTGAAGGAGATGAGGGAGTGACCCATGTGCATGTTTGGAAGAATGTTTCACTCAGAGGGAACGTCAAGTGCAAAGTCCCAGAGGCAAGAAAATCCCTGATAAGTGTGAGGAACTGCAAGGAGGCCAGTGACACTAGCGCTGGATGGTCCAATATGGGAGCCACTGGCCACATGTGGTTATTGAGCCCCTGAAATGTCCCTAGTTAAAACTGTATAATTTTAAATTGTGTCATTTTATCTTCTAAGGAATATGTTACTGGCCCCAGTTCTTCACTCCTCTTCTATCCATGCCCTTTGCAAAGAGACTTCATAGCTCAGTCATCCTAGGAAAAAGAGAAAAAGCTTTTTTCTGCCCCTTGATTCTGAGTCTGCATGTTAGACGTGTACTAGAATTCAGCTTAAATCTTCGCCCCTCAGGCTCAAGAATTAAATGATTGTTTATTGTCTTAAGCTACTGATTCTTGGGATGGTTTATTTGATGGCCATTCTGAGAGGCTGCCTGCCTTTTCTTGGATACCATGATTTCCTGCTTTGAACTTTGGAAACCGTTACATGGGTATAAAAGAGTAAGCACTGGTGTTTGGAACACGGATGCAATGGACATGAACTTGAGCAAACTCCGGGAGATGCTGAGGGACAGGGAGGCCTGGCATGCTGCAGGCCATGGGGTCACAAAGAGTGGGATGACTGGACAACTGAACAACAACAACAAGTTCCAAGTATTTGGTTTAACTTTTTTAAGGGCTGCAGAATGGCTTGTTTTCAAAATGGAGTGGGTACGGGACTAGAACTGGGATAATTTTGTGTGTTTTGTGGACTTAAAAAGCAGAACATGCGTGTGGCTGAACTAATTCCATTCGTCAGATTTTAAGAGGCTACACGAATTTCAGTGGATGATCACCTAGGCTGAAAGTGCTGAAGGAGGCTGACTTTGCTCAGGCTTGGCGGTACAACACCTCTATTTGAGACTGAGTAGAATCAGAAATTGGGGGAGAATAACCTGTGGAGTTTAACCAAAGAAATATTGATGTTGATATCTTTGAATTTAAATCTATAAGGTAAGGTTATTTAGGCTCTAGGTTTTAATTTATCCTTTACTGTTGTTTAGTCATTGTGTCCAACTCTTTTGTGACCCCATGGACCATAGTCCACCATGCACCTTTGTTCATGGGATTTCCCAGACAAGAATACAAGAGTGGGCTGCCATTTCCTACTCCAGGCAATATTCCCCACCCAGGGATCGAACCCACATCTCCTGCATTAGCAGGCAGATTCTTTACCACTGAGCCACCAGGGAAGTCTAAATCTTATTTATATCATGAGGTAATAAAATATGTTTCCCTGTTCCCCCCGTGACAGCTGGTGCAAACTGCAGGTATGGTGCCAGGGAGGTGTGCAGCCCTCTGTGCCACGGGTTTAGGAAACCAAAATCTATAATATGATATCAAACACTTCACAAAAAGAGCCAATCTAGGTCTCTTAACCCCACATTCTTAAAGCAGGTGATAAGGGACCCATCTGAGTTTTAGGGGTGGAAAGTTAGTTTCCTTGGTCTTAGAGATATCTTTAAGTCTACTGAGCCTGACCTTTGGGGGAACCCTATTCCCCCTATTCCCCCTTGTAATTTAGATTACAAGCAGGTCTAAATTGGACTACACAAACCTAGTCCTAAGCATTCTTGGCAGTTTCGTATATCTGTAACTTGATCTAGCCAGTCTTAAGAAAGACATTTTTTAAAGTTGGAGAGAACATTTGTCTGGATCAAAACTGACTGGGGAGTGACTGGAAGTCGGAAGCTATTCTTTTGATCTCTTATGTAAAAAAGAAGGCAGCTCCTCCCCTGGAACAAGACACCCTACTCTTACCACACATACATATACATGCTCACATCATGCGAGTAAAACAGTGCTGCTTTCATTGGAAAAGCCACTTATTTCCAAAGCACTTGGACCTTCAAAAAGTGTAAGAAAGAGTGTCAGCATTCTTTCTCTACCATCTAGACCATGTAGTAATCATAATATTACTACACCCTATGAAAATACCACTATGGGATCAGGATGTGACTATTTTTGATTGTGACAGTAGTTGTGGAAAGAGCTTTCCCGGTGACTCAGTATAAGGAACTGCCTGCAGTGTAGGTGACAGGGTTCAATCCCCGGGTTGGGCAGATCCCCTGGAGAAGGAAACGGCAACCCACTCTAGTATTCTTACCCAGGAAATCCCATGAACAAATGTGCCTATCAGGCTACAGTCCATTGGGGTCACAAAAGTCCAACACTAAATGACAAATTAGTAGTGGGGAAAAAAATCCTGTAGATATTTATTCCTCAGAGAGAAAATTTTTTTTCCCATTTACTTTTATTAGTTGGAGACTAATTACTTTACAATATTGTAGTGGTTTTTGCCATACATTGACATGAATCAGCCATGGATTTACATGTGCTCCCCGAGAAAATTTTTAAGAAGCCAGAAAACCTGGCTCAAGCACTTTAAATTATGTGAAAAAATCTGTTGATTTGTGTCAAACTAGACTATCATTTGAGTTTTTTTATATATTTTATTTTAGTATTTTAAACTTCACTAGATGAGAGAAAAGCAAAAGTAATATTTGTTTTCTGTAATAATTTAAATAGTAGAAAGATCCACAAAGTAAAATGAACCACCCCCCCATCCCCAATACAATTTAGGCAGCCAAAGATAAAAGTTTAGTATGTGTTTTTTTAACTTTTTCCTCTGTGCTCACACAGACACATATAATGACAAATGAATCATCCAGTTTAAGTTCATGCTGTGTGTTAACTCTACCATTTGCTTTTTTTTTTCTCACTTAACACGTTATGGTGGCCATCTCTACAATTTCTTATGTGTAGATCTAATCCATTATTTTTAATAGCATAATATTCTAACAGTATTAGCCCTTTCTCTACTGATGGACATTCAGTCTATTTCCATTTGTTTTCTTGTTTTAATCACTGTAAACAATGCTGCAATAAATATTATTATATGTAAATCCACACTGGTGCATTTATTTTTGCAGGATAAAACTGTAGGGATCTTGAGGCATAGAACATGTGATGTGTACTATTAATGTTAGCAGTTACTTTCCCCAAAGCTTGTAGAAATGTATGTTCTGCCACTTACCAAATTCTTGCCTGTCCTGGATGTTAGCAATCTTTTAATTTTTTTGCCAATCTGAGGATGAAAAATGGTATCTGTAAGCGTTCTCTCTTTTGTTCCCCTCCGATCTATTCTTTATTTGGCAGCGATCTTTAAAAAACAAACAAACAAAACTTTACCACATCATCTCTCTGCTCCAAACGCCTCATTTATGTCCCATCACCCTTAGAATCATGGCTAAGAGTCACATTTGGACATGGCCAAAAAGCAACTTGTGGTCTAATTTCTGCCTCTCTGGTGGGGTTTTCGCCCAGTAGGGCTTTCCTCTCTTGAGAAATCAAGATGACGTATTAGTTTGTTTGCTGGTATGAGTCTCAGAGGAAGCTACACCTTTTAAAATGTGACTAACTTATGCCTGAATGGAATAATTATTTCTATTTTATTTGCCTTGATGGAAGCGCTTTTCCAATTGCTTCAGGCTGATCATTTAGAGTAAACAGGGAAGCATAGGACTTGTCAAAAAAGCATGTTAGGGCAACAACTTGGCTCCTGAGGAACAGGCACAAAGTCTGATTATAAATGTGTGTGTGTGTGGGGGGGGGGGGTTGCGTCTCTTGTTTTTAGGTTGGACTTTTAAAGTGGAAGCTGCCTTTAATGTGCTGGTTTGTAGAACAGGAAATCTGATTTTCAGTGTGATAACACATTCTTTGACATTAACCAGTACAGTGGATTTTTAATGACACTTTGATCTTCAAAGTTCTTCACCAACACGGTGGATTAATTATTCATTTTTTAGTTATGTTTTAAAAAGACAGTCTTCAAAGCCATCATCCTTTCTCCTTGGAAATGGGGCTCTCCCCCTTCACCCTCAAGGGTGAAAATAAATTGCATCTCTCTCTTTTTTTTAAACAAAAAGAATACAATAGAAATATACTCTTTACACTATGGAGAGATGATGTCCTTATATCCTGGGTGGGATTAGAAGAGGTCTGGAAGCAGTGTTTAAGCTGTGTTTACAGTAAGCACTGAGAAATAACTTTGGCTAAAAGTGTTTGTTACTGCTCAGCCTTTTGATGTGCTCTTAAAAAGTAGCACAAATACATCACTGCCCAGTCTTCAACATAATAATATGCAGACCCTTATATTTGTTGCTAAAGTGTATTTCTTTTCTGTTCCCTTCAAAAAATGTCTACTTGGGTTTTTAAAAGGTTTAGTTTTGGAGAAGAAAACCCTCAAACTTTCCCCGAGGTCCTCCCTGACTTGACACATTTTTTAACCACAAGGGAGCAGTCTTCCCTTTGATGAGGTCTTCTCTCCAACTCTCCAGAAATGAAAGAGCAAGTGTAAGTTTGCAAACAGTCTAAAAGCTCCTTCCATTAGCCCTGGACGCCGGAAACCACAAAGGGCAGTCAAGTTTTGATTTTCAAGGAGAAAGCCTCTGGTAAACTTTCGCTCAGCCTCCAGTAGATCTGTTGGTTCCTGGGAGGAGCTCTTCTGAAACCTTGAAGATTTCTGTGCTCATGAAGACCCAGAGCGGTGGATTACAGTAATTGTAAAGCTTTTGGTGGCTTTGGAAGATTACCCAGTGTTTGGTGTGCATTCTCATTTCCAGGCCACGGGACCGAGGAGAGGAACTCCTTTTGTTATCTTTTTAAATAAGAAGATCAGAAGGGAAGAGAGGGTTTGAAGTGTGGATTAGGGGGGTCCTAAATCTTTGCCTATCACCTCCGCCTGAATCATTATAAAAAGATCGAGGGGTGCAATGAACTTAGGGAATCCTGCAACGTTTTCTTAAAACTTGTTCTGAAACCTAGCTTCCGGACCCAGAAACTTCTCCAAAAGCTGACCAGCAGTGTCAGGCAGTCTGAATGGACCAGGATCTCCGCTTTGAAGATTTTCAGTCTCATCTGCTGGGAGATTCATCTCTGGGGTAATTGGTTTTCTCTTTGGCGAATGATGGAGAAACGTCCACAGGCCGGACTGCTGACCCTGCCGTATCACCTGCGCCGGGTGCCCCTGGGCGTGCCGAGGTCCCTGCCCCGCCTCCCCCTGCGGGACTCCTTCAGAGTCTCCGAGAGTCTGGACCCCGCGTGCTGGGAGCCGGCGCTCGGCGGCGGCGGCGCCCCGAAGCGGCCCTACCTGCCCCTCCGGCTGGACGGCGCCTTCGAGCCCGCCTTTCTCCGCAAGCGCAACGAGCGCGAGCGGCAGCGAGTGCGCTGCGTGAACGAGGGGTACGCGCGCCTCCGAGACCACCTGCCCCGCGAGCTGGCGCACAAGCGCCTCAGCAAAGTGGAGACTCTCCGCGCCGCCATCGGCTACATCAAGCAGCTCCAGGAGGTGCTGGAGCGCCACGCGCGGGGACAGGAGGGTGCGGCCGGTGCCGGCTCCTCGCGCAGGGCCGAATGCAACAGCGACGGCGAGTCCAAGGCCTCATCGGCTCCTTCGCCCAGCAGCGAGCCCGAGGACGGGGCCAGCTAGCGAGTGCCCGCCCGGCCCAGCCCGCTCCCGCGGCTCTGCGCGCATTTGGCGTCTGCTCTAAGGTTCCCTACGGAGGTAGTTTGCATTTGCTATCCCCCCCCCCCCCGAAATAAATCTTAGGAAATAGAAATGAGTGCTCTAGGGGGAAAAAAGATTTTGACATTTAGTTTGTTTCCATCCACACACCACCACCACCCCTTATTTGTTATGTGCCTGCAACTTAAAGATGCAAACTCTTCCTATATCAAATAAAAGCTGTACCAGACTCAAAGGCTTCCCTGTTGGATCAGCAGGTAAAGAATGCGCCTGCAATGCAGGAGATGCCGGTTTGATCCCTGGGTCCGGAAGATCCCCTGGAGGAGGAAAATGGCAACCCACTCCAGTATTCTTGCCTGAAAAATCCCATGGACAGAGGAGCCTGGCAGAGGTAATTAACAGTCCATGGGGTCTCAGAGTCGGATACGACTAACTGAGCGACTCTATGCACATACCAGACTCTGAACTGCTCAAAACGGTAATTTGCCACAGTCAGCAGGGGTGGGTAAATTAGGGATGTAAATACTGAAACAAATTCAACCAAAAACCAAAGAAGAACTTTCAGAACTAAATGACAGCCGTGAGAGGAAAGGTTTTCTTCCTGCCCTTGGGAACTGATGAGAAATGCAATGACACCCTGCTTTGGATGAAGGTGATCCTAGGCTGACACTGGAGAACACGTTTGCCAGAGCCAGCCAGACCAGCCTGGGCTGTTGACTGAGCGTGTTGAACTTCGGTACTAGAAAAAACATTACATATTTGAAACATCCTGTTTTATCAAAAAGTGGCCATGTGAATAATAACATATGTTAGTATCAATGATCTTTTTGGAAGAGAACTCAGATTTGTATGAAAACTTATTTCTCCTCTTAGTTGTTTTGTCCATTTTCCTCTCATCTCCCCTTGTTCTCACTCCACCTAACCTTCCGTTAAAGTAACACTGTGACTGTAAAATAGAAAAAGGAAAAGGACCTGCTCCTTTCAACCAGGTTGAAGGGGAAGGAGGGATGGAGGCTGGTGCCTTCTCAAACTTCTATCACCTTGAGGGCTTTCAACCAAATTGAAATTGGAAGAATTTGGCAGTCTTTTAAAAATGCTTAATTCTGGTCTTTTTTTTTTTTTTCCTGAGAAACAATTATAAATTCAGTAGGTAAGTCAAATGCTTGTTGACATGTTAAGGTAAGCTTCCTCTCGTTTGAGTCCCTCTCAAGTTTTCTAATATGCTGCATTCCCCTTTCCACAGAGACAGCTTTGCTAATAAGGGGGTGGGGAGGTGGAGGAACCAGGAAAAGGATGAAAAGAGAAAACTAACAACGGTGAGCCTTTTCCAGGTATTCACTGAAGTTCCACACTGAGGTAGGTTTTATTACCCCCTTTCTTCAGATATGTGAACCAAGGGATGCTAATAAGCAATGAACGTCTTTTCAGAAGTTTTGCTGCTTTTCACATTTTGTCCAATTTATTCTCATAAATCTGTGGGGTGGGTATTATATGTATTTGGAGTTAAAAAAAAAAAAAAGACTGGGAGAGATTACATGCCTTGCCCAGGTTAGTGTTTCAAGAATTAGCTGAGCTGAGATCTAGTCCAAAGTCGGACTAACCCCAAAGCCCAGGCTTGCTTCTCTCTGACTTCTCTCCCCTGCCCTGTCATTTGCCAGTTGGGTGACTGAGCAAATGCTCCTTAAATTCTCTGCAACTCAGCTTCCTTGTCCTTGTCCTACTATTTCCCAGAAGTGTAAATTAAAGACCTTGGTAATCTGCAAGCTACAATCCAATGATTAAGTTAGTAGTGTTATTTATTAGCTCTGTGGAGAGTAGGCCTGGTTAAAAATGATCTCTAGATGAAGTGTGATTTCCTCAGTGTTTCAGAAGCAGGGTAGAGTAAACCACTCTTCATTTGCATTCTATCTTCTATTGTAAGGTCCTAGGAGACATGACCAGTGAAATGCTGAATCCATGTTAAAATGTATTATTGATATTTATCATGATGAATTATGGAATTCTATTGTTTCTGGCTGCTCAGATAAATGCTGTACCATGATTTACCACCAAGCTTTACTTTTTCTTAAGAAGAAAGTGGAAATTTGTGGTTTGAATGAGCAAGAAACAGCTATTTTCCTACCCATTACTTAGTTACATTCTCACAAACTCCTGTAATGTATCCATTTTGTTCTCCAAGCTGGTTCTTACTCCAGTGGGGGTTTCAGTGAAGCAAGTATGTATAGGTAAGATATATTTTCTAATTAAGAAAAAGAGAAAACACTCATGTTATTATAATACCTTCCTGGCTGAGTTGGAGGAGGGGCGAACTAACCACGCTGTTCATTGGAGAACCTTGAGACTCTTCTCAGGACCCTTCTATAGGTGATAACACTGTTCATTCCTTTTTTCTGCTCCAGCTAATGGGCAGGCATGTTGACATTCTCTTTTCTAGAGTAGTAGTAATAATAATAATAATAAAGTATATTTTCTTAATCTCTACAGGTTATGTGGTTGCTTTCAATGCAGGAAAAAACAAAGATTTTTTTTTCACTTCTTCAAAATATGTGTTATGAAATGTGTGAATAAATATACTATACTTGGCAGACATGAGTGGTTTACAAAGAGAACAGGGGCTTCTCTAGCGGTCCAATAGCTAAGACTTCAAGCTCCCAATGCAGGTTCAATCCCTGATCAGGGAAGTAGGTCCCACATGCCACAACTAAAGATCCCTAGTGCTGCAGCTGCAGCTAAGACCTGGTGTGGCCAAACAAATAAATATTAAAAAAAAAAAAAAAAAGGATGGGAGGAGAGAGAGAGGACAAAGCAGTTTTAAAACAGAACTTTTTTCTGGATAAAATGCCTTGAGAGACATCTGGTGAGACTTTTGTTTTCAGTCCTACTGAGAATAAAGCAATGATTTTGAGAAACCTTTTGGAATAATAATAAAATCCCATGTCAATCATGTAACTTTTTTTAAAGGGGGAAAAAAATCAGGCAGTTTTTCTGCAACTTTCCTAATGGCATAGGGAGGCATGCCAATCCAGGAATAAGACCTCTTAAAATGTTCAATCTTCCCCCTTTCTATGATTGAACATCTAACTAACCATGGAACAATTTGATTTTCAGGAATTCCCCAGTGGGCCAGTGGTTAGGACTCTGAGCTTTCACTGCTCAGAGGATCCAGGTCCTTTCCCTAATCAGGGAATTAGGATCCTGCAAGCTGTGTGGCAAAACTAAAAAAAAAAAAAAGAGACTCAAAAAGGACAAAATTACCAACAAGTGACATAAAAGCAATGGAGTGAATGGGAGTTTTAGGGAAATGATGCCTTCATGAAAGGAGAAACATTAATGTCATTCAAGATCTTGTTTCTTTGGATACTCTGCCCAAATATAGTAATTAATTACACTGTATTGCTTCTGGAATATTCATAACACTGATTAACAACTGTGACAACTTACCCTCACCCTGAGGGTGCAAAGGCAGAGGGGCTGTTGTGGGGTGTGGGGCGACTTTGCCCTCCACCTTGGTCTCTCACCAACCTGGTAATCTTGGGCGAGTCCCTAACTTCAGTGATCTCACATCCCCATGCTAGAGCACATGAAGATTGGACTGCATGATCTTCTAGGCCCTCAAGCTGGAAGATTCCTTTCTTCTGCTATGTGTGAAATCCTAGATTAGGGGAAACAAGTTGGTAAGACAGGCCCACTTCCTGCCACACAGCTCAGTGGCTCTGTGCTTGTGTCACCTCTTCCTACTGGAAAGATCCAGTCCCAGAGCAGCCGTTTATGCTTTACTGAATCCTAACTGCTATCACAATGCTGCATTTTAAAAAGGCAAGCTTCATAATCTTATGTGGAGTAGACTTTGAAGAATCTTACGATCTGGAAGAAAAATGAACCCATTTCACCTCAGTATGAAGAAAAAAGGTTGTGTGTTGTAACCGGTGTTCAAAATGAAAAATGTTATGACACAGAGAAAAGAGGGGTTTATTCTAGCTTCAAATGAGCAGAGGACTAGGAGGAAAGGCATTGGGGGATGTAGCCTTAGGCATGTGTAATACACTGGATTTCTCCCTAAAAGCAAGGAACTGTATTTGGAGAACAGAACCCGAGTAACAGATTAGAATTGATGGTTGAGAAAAGGTTCTGGGAGGCACTGAAAGCCAGGTGAAAATAACTTGAAGTTTATTTTGTAGACAATGGCAAACTATTGAAAAAAAAAATTGGGGGGGNGGGGGGGGGGGGGGGGGGCTTGGAGAGAGGGTAAACTGTTCAGTGCTGTGGCTGAGGACCACTCTGGTGGTAGTAAGCAGCAGACCAACGGGGTATTGCAATCATGAAGAAAGAGGAAGTGAGGGCTTAAACAAAGGCCTTAAAGAAGCAGTGGGAATGGGAAGGGATGGATTGGGAGATAAAGTGGGAGTAGCATTGATAGGTCTTGGCTACTCATAGAGGATGGGGTTGTGGATGAGGACGAGGAAGAAGTTAAGAGATGCATCTAGTGAGTTCTCAACAACTGAAGTGAAAAACACAAAAGAGAAAGCAGGTTGAAAAGAGACATGTCTTGTTTTGGGAGACACTGGGTTTATAGTAATAGGTTACTCCCGTCCACAGTTGACAATGCTGACAGTGCAGTCAGGAGGGAAATCAAGGACAGCTGTAGGCTGAGAGGCACAGGTATATAGACTTGGTGACTTGAACAAGAAGTAGATGAGATTTCCCAGGGAAAGAAGGCCTGCTGTGAAGGAGTGGCACAAGAAAAATGCCTTTGAAGAGGACCAAGGAGCTGCAAGGAGAAACAGGCTGTGTGAGATCATGGCAATCAAATGCAGATGTCATTTTGCAAGGAGGAGGGAGTGGACAGCATCGTATGAGTCAGAGTTGTCAGGGGATTTAAATGTGAGAGGGACCCATTAGATTTAGCCATTAAAAGATCACCAGAGACCTCTGTGAAAGGAGTGGGGTGAGAAGGCAGAGGGAAG